CAGAAGGGCTGCTGACCACATGACATTACAACATTACTGCTGACAGCCTGAAATTACAACATTACTGCTGACTGCCTGAAATTACAACATTACTGCTGACTGCCTGAAATTACAACATTACTGATGACTGCCTGAAATTACAACATTACTGCTGACTGCCTGAAATTACAACATTACTGCTGACCGTAGAAATTACAACATTATGACTGACTGCCTAAAATTACAACATTACTGCTGACCGTAGAAATTACAACATTATGACTGACTGCCTAAAATTACAACATTACTGCTGACTGTAGAAATTACAACATTATGACTGACCGCCTAAGATTACAACATTACTGCTGACTGTAGAAATTACAACATTATGACTGACCGCCTAAGATTACAACATTACTGCTGACCACATGACATTACAACATTACTGCTGACTGCCTGAAATTACAACATTACTGATGACCACATGAAACTACAACATAACTGCTGACCACATGACATTACAACGTTAGTGCTGACCGCCTGAAATTACAACTTTACTGCTGACCACATAAAATTACAACACTACTGCTGACCGTATGACATTACAACGTTACTGCTGACCACCTGAAATAACAAAATTACTGCTAACCGCCTGAAATAACAAAATTACTGCTAACCACATGAAATTACAACAGGACTGTTGGCACATGAACTACAAACATGCTGACAACATGGCTTCCTGTCTTACACTGGTTTCCTGTGCCCTGTGGGCCAGACATGCAATAACCTGTATATGTCGCACAATTACCATTTATGAAAACACAAACCAAACAATAAAAAAATAATAAAAGAAAGGCCACCAGACATTGATAGTGAGTAATTTGTGAGGATAAATGTACATACAAGCTGGCAATAGGGAGCAATGATATGAAGCTGATTGTACTGTGCACACATGGAAACAAAATCTGATAAACATAATATAAGAAAACAGTTAAGGCGTATAAAATCTATACAAAGACTACAGATCACTTTCCCCTCAAATATCTGCTAATTTTATTGAATGTTTGAAAACTTAAACATAGATCAGTGGATAACCTTTTTTCTAGAGGTACCCCCTTGAAAATAGGCCAGACAGCCCCCCCCCCCCCCCCCCCCCCCCCCCCCCCCCCCCCCCCCCCCCCCCCACCCCCCCCCCCCCCCCCCCCCCCAATCTGTAATTAAATGCATGTGTTATCCAAATTATTAGATTTTTAACGGTAACTGTAACAACTGCTTATGAGAATTTAAAGTCATTGGCTGTTTTTTTTTTTTTTTTGTTTTTTTTTTTTGTTTTATGGATTTTAAAAATATTTTAATTTATAATTATACTGAAAACAAAACATAGTGTAACAGATTATTACAAGTATAAAAGAACTCAATTTCAGAATTGCTGCTTGCTGCTTTCCCCCTCCTTCCTCCAAAGTCTTCCAACCCCAGGTTGAAAACCACTGACACAGATGAAAGCTTACCAACATTGTCCACACACACAAAAAAGCAAGTACCTTTATGTACTGCTAGCATACTGGGTACGGGCAAATACTACAAAGATATTTTTATAGACCCAACAACACCGGGTGGGTGATACAATCATCAACATCATCATCATGCCAGCCTTTACATACCAGGAAATTTCCTTGTGCCCATCTTAGGCTAGTCCGCCAGGAACCTAAGTCAATTTATTATTTAAAACATCTCAAATCTGACTCATGTGGATTCGAACAGAAATTCTTTGGACTGGCAGGCAAGTTCTCGGTCACCAGTGGCTACCTTTATATGAATAGTGACCATGAAGATCTTACTGCCTGATCCAAGGTCAGTGATGCTGACTCGGACATGCAATGTTTTCTTACCATCGTTAATTCATGCTTTCTTTGGGCGGAGGAGCGCAGTAGGGAGGATACTAACCTTGTCCTAGGAAGAGGAAATGCAACGCGAAAGCTTTTTACGTTCAATAAAGAATTTCTTTTTTTTTTTAACATCATGCTCAATAGGGGCACTAACTCTTGACCCCCAGGGGAGGCAACCCTTCTCCAGAACATCCTCATGTATCAAAAGTATCAATGCTATCATTAAAAAAAAATATCTTTCATCCTCAAGAAATCATTCTCACCAAAAATGGCGTTAATCATAAGCAGTGCATAAATGTACATAGAGACACAAAATACATCAAAGTAAATTTACAAGTACATGTGTGTACACATGATACACGAGACAAATGTACATGTGTGTACACAAGATACACGAGACAAATGTACATGTGTGTACACAAGATACACGAGATAAATGTACATGTGTGTACACAAGATACACGAGACAAATGTACATGTGTGTACACAAGATACACGAGACAAATGTACATGTGTGTACACAAGATACACGAGACAAATGTACATGTGTGTACACAAGATACACGAGACAAATGTGCATGTGTGTACACAAGATACACGAGACAAATGTACATGTGTGTACACAAGATACACGAGACAAATGTACATGTGTGTACACAAGATACACGAGACAAATGTACATGTGTGTACACAAGATACACGAGACAAATGTACATGTGTGTACACAAGATACACGAGACAAATGTACATGTGTGTACACAAGATACACGAGACAAATGTACATGGATGCCAGTCTAAAGTATATGACTGTAGATAAATAATTCAAGCTGCAGCAATTAGAAGCAACCAGAGAGAGAATGTGTGCATAAGACTGTGCAACAGACTGTTAGATGTGCATGTGTTATGTTCATAACATTAGGGGCTCTTGTCCGGTTAGAGTTCCACAATTACAACAAAAGTATCAAGAGGATCGATCCACTTCGTTGCACTGAGTTTGATCCCATATGGTTCAGTCTCTCCCCGCAGAACGACCAGCCACCTGTCGAGAGCGTCACACAAAGCACAAACTCAATAGTTCCAGCAACATTCCCCAGGAATCTTCATTAAAAAATTGCACTCCTGAACTGAACAGCATAGCCACAAAATGAACCCATGACCTTGAGAGCGCAAAGCAAGCGGCTTGACCACTTCGCTGCCGAGATCCCCCGATTAATTACAATCTAAGTCAATACCACAACATTATAACCAAGTAATCATATGATCAGGAAGATGGTGCATTCTACATTACCGGCAGTTTGGTCAAGGCACCCACCAGAGTCCACGCACCCACACGCAGAGAGCCTAACCCACTAGAGCTTTTGCACCCACACGCAGAGAGCCTAACCCACTAGAGCTTTTGCACCCACACGCAGAGAGCCTAACCCACCAGAGCTTTTGCACCCACACGCAGAGAGCCTAACCCACCAGAGCTTTTGCACCCACATGCAGAGTGCCTAACCCACCAGAGCCTCTGCACCCACACGCAGACAGCCTAACCCACCAGAGTCTCCGCACCCACACATAGAGAACCCAACCCACCAGAGCCTATGTACCCACTAAGCTGCCGAATTCAGCCGAGACTGAAAGAATACGAACCACTGACGGTAAACAGAATACAGACAGATAGTGAATGACTGGTCAGCTGAGACTAATGGCCATGAGTCAAAGCACAAAAGAAGAAAATACATGAGAGTCATGACCCAAATGCCTCACTCCTCCTCCCCCCTACCCAGAGAGCATCAAAAAGGCAAAGGGGCTGAAACAGTTAGTGAAGGGGGCACTAAACAATCAGACGCCACCTGATGCATTCCCTCCTCTGAGGTTTTTTTCTTCCTTTTTTTTGCATATTGGTAAATGGTCGGCCTTTGTGGCTTAGGCGTTGTGAACGTGCTTCATAATGCCGGGGTACCGGGTTCGATCCCTGCTGCGGACAGTTTGTCTTGTGATGGTTTTGACCATGGTACCGACAGCCGACCATCCAAAAAGCAATGACAAACTACTGCACGTAAATGTGCCTAGAAAAACCACAACGGCCAGAAAGTGCTGGGGTTGGTTCTGCAACGTCCTGTAAAGTTGGTAAATGACTGATCAGTTGAGATTGTCAGAATATAGGCTTACAGTGAATACTAACAGCACACAGTTTGACAACAACAGACTGATGGTGGATGACTGTCCAGTTCAGATTATTACAATATAATTCCTTAGCTGAGACTCACAGAACTGACTCATGAAGCTGGAGAATGACTATTTAGTTCCCCCGTGTGGGTTCCGGGGCCCTATTATAGAAAAAACAAGAATAGACCCACTACCTAACCAAAAGCATGTCGTAAGAGTTGACTAATTGGGAGCTTCCTTCAAAGTCGGAGTGCATCTGCCTGAGAGGCAAGGAACCAGCAGTCTGCATACAAATGAGTCAGATCTGTAAAACGGATGCACACGCAACACTCAGGTTCTGGAACAGGACTGCAGTCTAGAAGTGGATAAACAACCAGAACTTTCCGCCGGAGTTTACAGCTCGTGAACCCGAAGAAGAAGAAGAAGAAGACTACTTAGCTGAAAGACTAATTATGAAACATAGCCACCAATACCCAGTCCACTACCTGGAACGAAATACCCCTCGTGTGGGTTCCAGCGTTCCAGTTGGGAGGAAAAAGAAAAGACTCACTGTAAGGTAACTAATTAGCTGTTTTTCCTTTGAAGTCAGACTGTCTCTGCCTGAGAGGCAAGGAACCAACAATCTGCATATAAATAAGCCAGATCTGTAAAACAGATGTGCGTGCAAAAAAATTAAGTTTTGGAACAAGCCCAACCAAGTTGACAAAACAACCAGAACTATGTACCGCAATTTTACAGTCTGTGAATGTGAAGAAGAATGGAACATGTCTAAAGGAACTGAACTTGGCGTAAATGCTTGAAAACGTCAGAGACAGTAGCCTTTTGAGTCATCAGGTGTCACACACTGCCTGGGAAAAAGTAACAAAGAAGAAGAGGAAGAATATGAATGTAGGTGAATGACTACACTCTCCTGTACGTGTTGAAGACTGGTCAAGCAGATCTGAATGCACAAAGCCAGAAAACATGTGCCAGTGTGGCTGTTCACCACATGCTGTAGTCGATATCGTCATTTCCAAACACTTTGAAATATCCCAGGATGGTCAGAAACACCACCACGTTGCCAGATATCACCAGCGCACAAGCTCCCCATTTGATCTGAAATTGAAGGTCAAAGGTTAAAGTTGAGAGGATGGACTCAACTGCACAGGGTTTTAACCCATATGGCGGTTCTTTATTAATATCTTACCCCAGATGACGTCGCAGGACAGTCCAACATTTTAGAGTGCGGTAAGACTGGGTTTTCTATCTTTCTGATGCTTTTAACGACCCCAAAACATCTAGAACTGGCCCTAAACAGAATCCACCTACGTACCATGAGAAAGTGCAGCCTAGGTCCCATGACTGCATGGAGCTTATTTACCACCCTCTGAAATATAAGCCTGTCCCATGACCTGTGAATATCGCCTGTTAGGGGTAGGATATTAAGAAAGCACCCATTTGGCTAAGCCTCTCTTTGCAGAACAGCTTGCTGTCAGCTGAGAGTTGTCTAAAGCACAAACTCTGTTGCTATGGTGACAATCTCCATGGATCTTCGTTAAAACTGCACTCGTGAAATGAACAATGCAGCCACGAAACAAACTCCCGGCTTGCCCACTTCTCCACGAAGACCTCCCAATTTTTTTTTTTTTTACAATTATTACATTTCAAGTTAGTTTTTTTTTAATTTATACAAAAATACTTATAATAATATGATAAATAAACTGACAAAAACAGAAGAAAGAACTTGCAAGCTCTAGAGGAACACAATCATGAGTGACAAAATGAATGTTGCTGCAAAAATGCATTCATTAGCATACAAAAACAAAAGGAAAGTGCTGAAACTAGGTTAAAAAATTTTTTTTACACAAGTCCCTTCGATTTTCAGCACTTCTAAAGGTGTTTTTTTAAAACTATCCACAACATTCATTCTGCCTCTTGTGATTGTATTTTGGTAAAGCTTATCAGTTCTTTCTGGGTTTTTCCTGTTAATTTATTCATTTTCATCTTTAGATATAATTCAATACATATTATTTACCACAACAATATGAGAAAACAGTATTGACTTGTGGAATAGCATGCAGTGGTGGAGACAGAATGGGGTGGTGGAGGTAGCAATGGAGGAGGGGTTGGTAGCATGGGTGGTGGAGACAGCACTAGGTTGTGGTGAGAGCACAGTGGTGGAGAGCACTGGGTTGTGGAGTGAGCACTGGGTTGTAGAGTGGGCACTGGGTTGTAGAGTGGGCACTGGGTTGTGGAGTGAGCACTGGGTTGTAGAGAGAGCACTGGGTTGTGGAGAGAGCACTGGGTTGTGGAGTGAGCACTGGGTTGTGAAGTGGGCACTGGGTTGTGGAGTGAGCACTGGGTTGTGGAGTGAGCACTGGGTTGTGGAGTGAGCACTGAGTTGTGGAGTGAGCACTGAGTTGTGGAGTGAGCACTGGGTTGTGGAGTGAGCACTGGGTTGTGGAGTGAGCACTGGGTTGTGGAGTGAGCACTGGGTTGTGGAGTGAGCACTGAGTTGTGGAGTGAGCACTGGGTTGTGGAGTGGGCACTGGGTTGTGGAAACAGTACTGGGTTGTGGAGTGAGCACTGGGTTGTGGAGTGAGCACTGGGTTGTGGAGTGAGCACTGGGTTGTGGAGACCGCACTGGGTTGTGGAGACCGCACTGGGTTGTGGAGACCGCACTGGGTTGTGGAGACAGCACTGGGTTGTGGAGACAGCACTGGGTTGTGGAGACCGCACTGGGTTGTGGAGACCGCACTGGGTTGTGGAGACAGCACTGGGTTGTGGAGACCGCACTGGGTTGTGGAGACCGCACTGGGTTGTGGAGACAGCACTGGGTTGTGGAGTGAGCACTGAGTTGTGGAGTGAGCACTGGGTTGTGGAGTGAGCACTGGGTTGTGGAGACAGTACTGGGTTGTGGAGTGAGCACTGGGTTGTGGAGTGAGCACTGAGTTGTGGAGTGAGCACTGGGTTGTGGAGTGAGCACTGGGTTGTGGAGACAGCACTGGGTTGTGGAGACAGCACTGGGTTGTGGAGACAGCACTGGGTTGTGAAGACAGCACTGGGTTGTGGAGACCGCACTGGGTTGTGGAGACCGCACTGGGTTGTGGAGACAGCACTGGGTTGTGGAGACCACACTGGGTTGTGGAGACCGCACTGGGTTGTGGAGACCGCACTGGGTTGTGGAGACAGCACTGGGTTGTGGAGACAGCACTGGGTTGTGGAGACCACACTGGGTTGTGGAGACCACACTGGGTTGTGGAGACAGCACTGGGTTGTGGAGACCGCCCTGGGTTGTGGAGACAGCACTGGGTTGTGGAGAGAGCACTGGGTTGTGGAGAGAGCACTGGGTTGTGGAGAGAGCACTAGGTTGTAGAGTGAGCACTGGGTTGTGGAGTGAGCACTGGGTTGTGGAGACCGCACTGGGTTGTGGAGACAGCACTGGGTTGTGGAATAAGCACTGGGTTGTGGAGACAGCACTGGGTTGTGGAGTGAGCACTGGGTTGTGGAGACAGTACTGGATTGTGGAGTGAGCACTGGATGGTGGACAGGGTACTGAGTGGTGGAGAGGGTACTGTATATTCAAGAGAGACAGATACAGTGAGTACTTACCACTGCTACATGTGCCAAAACAATTGGCAGACCAATGGAAGAGACAACTATGCCTGTGGTCAGAAAGATGCACAGTTCAATACACGCACTGCTAGATGAATCATAGCCATTAGAGAGCCTTCGAGCCACGATAGTTGGCAGTGGAGACAGGACGTAGAAAAACAGGACAAACATGGGCCACCAGTTGCTATAAAAATAGAGAAAACGAACAAATAAATCAATCAATCAAGAACTGTCAACACTGAACTCAGGACATTCCCACATTTGCCCTGTTCCCTCCCTCGTAAGTCAACAAAGAGTTCTCATACTTAAACGTGCATGCTACAACCTTATTAAAATTCACCCGTCTTTTCCACTGCACATCTGATGTCAACAGACCCTATGCTCGCTCCTAGATGAATCAGTCTCTTCAGGTATGTGTAATCTGTTCTGCTGCAGTGCCCACTTGATACCAAAGTCTTCAGAGTCTACTTCTCATTCGTCCTCGTGACGTATTTGTGTCGTGCTTGTTTACAGCAGAGCTGCGACAGTTGCGCCTTTCAGCTGATGCATCCAACTTCATTGAGCATTTTTTGACCTGGTTAACGTCCCAAACAATTTCGTGGGACAGGGACATGTTGTGGCCTTACTTGTGTGGAATTCTCTTTGTCCCCTTATCTACAGGTCCTGCCCCCGCAGACCCCGTCCAGGGCATCCGTGCATGGACAGGTCGGCTCTCAGGGAAGGCAGTAGCAGATCATAAGCATTCCCTGCCATCAAAGGAGGCTTCCATAAATGCAGAACCGACACATGATGCTCTAGTCCTCGGTTCACCCAAGGAATCGTCACAACCTGCCATGTCTGCTTAATATCATATCCGTATGGTGAGCTTTCCAATTGTCAGGGACTGACCTCACCGGAAAGCAAGAGGAAGCAGCCCGTTGGTTTGGAACACTGATGGCCACACAAATCAGTGTCTTCAGAGTCTTAAACTATTGACAATTTTCCCTCTTTCAAGATGATAGTGTTATACTGTGCAATAAGGGAACCATGATACTCACAGCAATGATATTAATAATAACACTGTTGCTGCTACTACTTCTATAAGTTACTGCAATTAACTGCCCCCCTTTTAGCCCCCAATGAAGCAAAGGCCCTCAACTCAGCGTTGCTGAATATTTCACTGTCACTGTAACTACTCTCACAGGGAGGAGCCAAGCTGGTACAGTGGTCGGTAAGCCTGCTCCCAAAAATGTACCTCAGGTCTGAAATAGCCAGTTCCACAAGGAGCTGAATGTTGAATTAAGAATCGACATCACAGCACTATGGACACTCCCATAAGCACACCATCTCCACGTTCAGCAGCAAGCAAAGAGTTATAATTCCGATGGCACCAGTAACTGTTGGATTGTATCTCCGTCTCGCCTTTCCCTTGAGTGTTGAGCTTCAGTCAGAACCCTGGTAACTCCTTGTAGCGCCATTCTCCTCAGACTGTAATGATCTATTTGTGCCTCCGCACTGTTCACTTACTCCCAAAGCTCCCTCACAACATCTAGAGTGGCAAACATCACTTCACCACTAAGTGGTGCAGAACCAGCCAGTCTATATGCCTGCTCATTTCCCAACACACCAGCATGACACTAGAAGTGTCAATGTTCACCACCAGCACAGCCCTGATTCAAGTCTGGCAACTCCTTGTGTGTGCTTTAGGGCTCTATTGTGGAGATCTGGGGCTCTATTGTGAAGATCTGGGGCTCTATTGAGGAGATCTGGGGCTCTATTGTGGAGATCTGGGGCTTTATTGTGGAGATCTGGGGCTCTATTGGGAAGATTTGGGGCTCTATTGTGGAGATCTGGGGCTCTATTGAGGAGATCTGTGGCTCTATTGAGGAGATCTGAGGCTCTATTGAGGAGATCTGGGGCTCTATTGAGGAGATCTGGGGCTCTATTGAGGAGATCTGGGGCTCTATTGAGGAGATCTGGGGCTCTATTGTGGAGATCTGGGGCTCTATTGTGGAGATCTGAGGCTCTATTGAGGAGATCTGGGGCTCTTTCGTGGAGATCTGGGGCTTTATTGTGGAGATCTGGGGCTTTATTGTGGAGATCAGGGGCTCTATTGTGGAGATCTGGGGCTCTACTAAGGAGATCTGGGGCTCTATTGTGGAGATCTGAGGCTCTATTGGGAAGATCTGGGGCTCTATTGTGGAGATCTGGGGCTCTATTGTGGAGATCTGGGGCTCAATTGTGGAGATCTGGGGCTCTATTGTGGAGATCTGGGGCTCTATTGTGGAGATCTGAGGCTCTATTGAGGAGATCTAGGGCTATATTGAGATCTGAGGCTCTGTTGTGGAGATCTGGGGCTATATTGAGATCTGAGATCTGGGGCATTTTGTGGAGATCTGGGTCTCTGTTGTGGAGATCTGGAGCTCTATTGTGATCTGGGGCTCTATTGTGATCTGGGGCTCTATAGTGGAGATCTGGGGCTCTATTGTGGAGATCTGGGGCTCTATTGTGGAGATCTGGGGCTCTATTGTGGAGATCTGGGGCTCTATTGTGGAGATCTGGGACTCTATTGTGGAGATCTGGGGCTCTATTGTGGAGATCTGGGGCTCTATTGTGGAGATCTGGGACTCTATTGTGGAGATCTGGGGCTCTATTGTGGAGATCTGGGGCTCTATTGTGGAGATCTGGGACTCTACTGTGGAGATCTGGGGCTCTACTGTGGAGATCTGGGGCTCTACTGTGGAGATCTGGGGCTCTGTTGTGGAGATCTGGGGCTCTACTGTGGAGATCTGGGGCTCTACTGTGGAGATCTGGGGCTCTATTGTGGAGATTTGGGGCTCTGTTGTGGAGATCTGGGGCTCTGTTGTGGAGATCTAGGGCTCTGTTGTGGAGATCTGAGGCTCTACTGTGGAGATCTGGGGCTCTATTGTGGAGATCTGAGGCTCTATTGAGGAGATCTAGGGCTATATTGAGATCTGAGGCTCTGTTGTGGAGATCTGGGGCTATATTGAGATCTGAGATCTGGGGCATTTTGTGGAGATCTGGGTCTCTGTTGTGGAGATCTGGAGCTCTATTGTGATCTGGGGCTCTATAGTGGAGATCTGGGGCTCTATTGTGGAGATCTGGGGCTCTATTGTGGAGATCTGGGGCTCTATTGTGGAGATCTGGGGCTCTATTGTGGAGATCTGGGGCTCTATTGTGGAGATCTGGGACTCTATTGTGGAGATCTGGGGCTCTATTGTGGAGATCTGGGGCTCTATTGTGGAGATCTGGGGCTCTATTGTGGAGATCTGAGGCTCTGTTGTGGAGATCTGGGGCTCTATTGTGGAGATCTGGGACTCTATTGTGGAGATCTGGGGCTCTATTGTGGAGATCTGGGGCTCTATTGTGGAGATCTGGGACTCTATTGTGATCTGGGGCTCTACTGTGGAGATCTGGGGCTCTACTGTGGAGATCTGGGGCTCTGTTGTGGAGATCTGGGGCTCTACTGTGGAGATCTGGGGCTCTATTGTGGAGATCTGAGGCTCTGTTGTGAAGATCTGAGGCTCTATTGTGGAGATCTGGGGCTCTATTGTGGAGATCTGGGGCTCTATGGTGGAGATCGGAGGCTCTGTTGTGGAGATCTGGGGCTCTATTGTGGAGATCTGAGGCTCTGTTGTGGAGATCTGGGGCTCTATTGTGGAGATCTGGGGCTCTGCTGTGGAGATCTGGGGCTCTATTGTGGAGATCTGGGGCTCTATTGTGGAGATCTGGGGCTCTATTGTGGAGATCTGGGGCTCTATTGTGGAGATCTGGGGCTCTATTGTGGAGATCTGGGGCTCTATTGTGGAGATCTGGGGCTCTGTTGTGGAGATCTGGGGCTCTGTTGTGGAGATCTGGGGCTCTATTGTGGAGATCTGGGGCTCTATTGTGGAGATCTGGGGCTCTATTGTGGAGATCTGGGGCTCTATTGTGGAGATCTGGGGCTCTATTGTGGAGATCTGGGGCTCTACTGTGGAGATCTGGGGCTCTGTTGTGGAGATCTGGGGCTCTATTGTGGAGATCTGGGGCTCTATTGTGGAGATCTGGGGCTCTATTGTGGAGATCTGGGGCTCTATTGTGGAGATCTGGGGCTCTATTGTGGAGATCTGGGGCTCTATTGTGGAGATCTGGGGCTCTATTGTGATCTGGGGCTCTATTGTGGAGATCTGGGGCTCTATTGTGGAGATCTGAGGCTCTGTTGTGGAGATCTGGGGCTCTATTGTGGAGATCTGGGGCTCTATTGTGGAGAACAAAGAACAGACCCACTGCTCTCTCAACAAGAACGCCGCAGGAAGCTACTAATTAGGGGCTGTTTCCTTCAAAGTCGGAGTGCATCTGCCAGAAACACAAGAAACCAACAGTCTGCATACAAATAACCCAGATCTGTAAAATGGGTGTGCATGCAAAACTTCTGGATCAAGACTCAAGTCCAGGAGTGGATGAACAGCCAGAACTTTCAGTCAAAGGTTACAGCCACTTAATGCTAAGAAGAAGAAAAAGAGGAAGAAGAACAAAGTACCTCAGGACTTATACATCCAGTTGCAGAATGAGTGCAGATGTTCACCACCAGCAAAGCCCTGGGTCAAGTCTCAAATAAAGTCTGTTCTATTTCTAGCAAGATAAAGCAGTGTGGAAGGGAACTGCTTACTCAACCACACTAGGCTCTAACTTAGAATATGTGACCCCTGAAGAGTTCATCTGCCAGGAGATGATCTACTGATAATCACTTATGAAGTATTTACTTGTCAGCGTCTGTTGCTAAGACGCTGTGAGCTCGCCTCGTTATTCCAAGGTACGCTGTTTGATCACAGCTGCGGTCAATCTGGCAGCAAACTTGCCCTGTGTTGATTTCGACAGGGAGCTGACCATTCAATAAGCAATGTCAAACTACTGGATGTCCAACTGTCTAACCAAAACAGCCAACAACTGCTGGGGGTTTGTTGTGCAAAATCCTGTAAACGATACACAACTAACTAACTAACTTACTTGTATTCTGGAAGGGCGCATGCTAGAACCAGAAAGGTGACTCCGAGAGCACAGGCAAAAGCTAACCCAATTAATCTGTGGAATAAATAATCACGCTCGTGATCATATGATCTTCTCACAAACAGAACATTCTTCTTCATTCACCCTTAAAAGGGTGGTTCGCTTATTGTGTTGTGGTTTACAGCTAGGCTGTGACATCTATGCCTTTTGGCTAAACACAGCTGACTTCAGCAAACCTGCTAATTGGTCGCCTATTATGACATGCCTGTTGGGGGGGGGGGGGGGTAGTGTATCTATTCTTTTTCTCCAAAAACAGGGTTTTGGAACCTATCCAGGGATATGTAAATAAACAGAAACTCAATATGTGTCTCTCTGACTATAAACCAGTTGAACTATCTTGCCACCCCTCTTTTTTTTCCATACTTTCTCCCAATCCTCATCACTTAAACTGTCTTTCCTCTTCCCTTCTTCACTCTCTCCTCATTCTCTTTTCCTAACTCGTAGCTTTCTTCATCTTCTTTCTTCTTTACCTTTGCACTCTCTCCTTTCTACAGTCATCAACCTCGCTCCTCTTTTTTCTTTCTCCCCCACCTCTTTTTTATATTCTTATTCCCCTCCCTCTTTCTTACTCTTCCTCCTTCCTTACACTTTCATCTCTCTCCCTTTTCTCTCCCTGCAATGTTTTTATTTTATCTCTTCCTTTGCACTCTCTGTCCTCTTTCTTCCCCTTATCTCTTCATCCTTCTCCCTTTATCCTCTACTTCTCAATTCTCTCCTTCCTCACTCTCTCATGCATAGGCATTGAGGTGGATTCACATACTTGCAGCAGACAAATATAGTTACACAAACATCTATATAGTTCTGTGAGATCAATCTACAACATACAAGCATACTGATGTTTAAAAATACTTACGCTGTTCATGACAACAAACAGCAAATCCCGGAGATGCCAGGTAGTTCATGTCAGAATAAATAAAAGAAAGAAAGCTATGTTATAAAATTATAAAGCATGCCACATTGTACTTTATGACTGTTAATTCAATTTAAATTATTAGTACAAAATCACTGAAACATGTTACAATTATCTTTATTGTCTGTACTTGAACTTTTAGAATGGTGTAAAACATTTAGGTCATGAGCCTTGAGGATTTAAGCCCATGTGACTAGTACAGCTGCCACAAATGGTGTAAAACATTTAGGCCATGAGCCTCGAGGATTTAAGCCCATGTGACTAGTACAGCTGCCACAAACTCTGCAGGTCGGGATTTTCTTTTCTGCTCCAGACAGAATAAAATTTCCATCCCTTACTGGCAACTGGACATGGATTCCCTGCATGACAGCCTGGCCCTCTAATCATTTTGCCAGCTGCTACACTGCTGGCAATCTCAGTCTATAAAGGCTCAGATGGTTAGGACATAGCGAAAGGATGGAAGATGGTAGACTCCCTAGGGATATCCTCTACGGCAGGGCTAATCACCTGGTGGCCCATGGGCCAAATATGGCTCGCAAAGGCCTAGCAAGTCGCCCACAGATCGTTGCCAGTCGTATTGTATTAATGATCTGTCTAAACTGGGACTTTGGCCTGTGGCGAGCCCCAGTTTCCAGATTGTCCCCCCTGAATAAACTTAGTCGAATAACCCTGATCTATGGTGAATCGGAGGGTAAAAGTTGTTGGGATGTGTCTCTTGGACATAAGTGGTACACGTATTGGGTGAAATCATTGAAACAGGTAACTTAAATCGTATTGCATGAGGGGGAAAAGGGGTAGGTGGAATAGGGATAAAAGAGAAAAGGATTGCAGACAAGTTCAAGACTGAGTGCCTGAGAAGAAATATTTGCAATACAAGTGATTGAAACAATGATCCTGACATTTCAAGCCCTCACTGTGGAAGATTCTTCTTAATGCCAGCAGGTCTCGCTGGTTGCACTGGCAATGGGCTGTGTTTCCCAGCACTAGCTATAGCTTACCAGAATAGAATATTATCATCCAGAAGGATTGAAATCTGGGTTCACATGTGTAAAGATTTGACAAGACAAGCCCATTTCAGCTCTGTCTCATTTAACTCCCCATTGTATCATTTTCTCCAGGTATGTGTTTTAATTATCTTTCATTTTACTTATGACCTTGTCGCACAGGTGAGAGATTACCTCTGCCTAGCACAGTTGCAGTACACCTCTAAGTGGGGCCATCCAGCCAATCTATCTGCCTCTGCATTCCCGAACTCAGCTGCACATCCCCCCCCCCCCCCGTTCCCTGCATTCTCATCTCAAGGTAATTACCATTTTGTGCAGCACTTCTCTGCCCTTTGGTGCCTTTATTCTCATCAGCTAATCACTTTAATGTTGCAGACACAGGCGATTGTATTTTTAGCCTGGGCTGTCCATGGTCTGCCCCTCTTTGGTCTTTCACCCTACAGATTGTCCAATTACCTATGCAGATATGTTCTTCTTCTTTTTTCTCTTCTTTTTTGCATTCACCAGCTGTACACTCTGGTGGAAAGTTCTGGTTGTTCGACCACTTCTGGACTGCAGTCCTGTTCCAGAACCTAAGTGTTGCCTGTGCATCCGTTTGACAGATCTGACAGATTTGTGTGCATACTGTTGTCTCCATGCCTCTCAGGCAGCTGCACTCCGACTTCGAAGGAAGCTCCCAATTAGTCGACTCATACGACAGGCTTTTGGGTAGGCAGTTGGTCTATTCTTGTTTTCCCTATAATAAGGCCCCGGAACCCACACGGGGGAAGATATGTTCCATTTTGCTTGCCACTCTAAAATAGTACCCAGCCTGCAGTATACTATGTCTATCAGCAATGGCCAGCATAGCCAAGATATTTCTCAGTCACACAACTGGTATGTCCCTCGTGTATCTCAGAATGGTTTGCACAGCAACATCTATATGCATTATTTCTTTTTCTTTTGTGTTTCCCTGCTGTAAACTCCAGTGGAATGTTCCGATTGTTCGTCAACTTCTGGACTATGTGTGTATACTATCATCTGTTCTATATCCACAGCAGCCATAACTTAGTGCATGCAGGTCTGTCTTTGCTCTTAAGATGACTGCAACGATGTAGAAAAATTGAAAGATGCCAACAAAATTGTGACCAGAACAAAGAAGCTAGTCATTTTTGTATAAACTGAAGAATGTTTGAGTTTTTAATTACTCTTGTTACTTTACTGTAGATGTTTACAGTCAGTGCAACATATTTACTAAATGAAATCACTAGTTTTCTCAGCTGAATGCTAGGATTTTAAACAAGGTACAGCTGACAATGCAATGCTGACACTGACATTTTAAATGGAATAATTTCACATTATTATGCTAAAGCGCAAATCAAACAAGAATTTGATACCGTGTTTGTGTCCTGTATTTTAAACTCCATCTCCTTGAGTGAGTGGTGGTATTATTTACAGTTATTAAATGAAATAATCTACGAGACAGTAGTTCACAAGACTGAATTTCACCACAGCCAATCCTGTTGTTTACGTTTTTGTTGTGTTTGATTTTTTTAGCAACCGCTGCTGGTATAGTCTGAGTTGAAAACATTACGATTTTATGGCAAGTGCCGTTCTCTTTAACTCCATCTCACACATGAACACCCAAATAACTGTACTGTATCCATGTCTAATCTACACATATACTACATCGTATTATTATCGTGAAAACAAACCTCTAATGCCGGCCATCTTGTCAACAGAGATGACTCATTGCCAGGGTTTTCTGCATTTTGTAGGTAGAGTCAATTCAGCGACATGCTGCTGCAATATGAATCAGTTGGTCACCACCATTTTAAGATAACTAAAGATGAAGCGTTGTTCTATTTTTTTTTTTTTTTACTAACACCGCCCCGGTTAAAAGTTATTTGCGCATCCTTTACAGGACGTTGCAGACCCAACCCCAGATTTTTTTTTATTTGGCTATTGTGGTTTTTCTAGGCAAATTTACGACACACATCCATGCCATGCAACAAGACTGTCAAGAATCTTCTCTTGTTGTCTTCCTCTATCCCTCCTTCCACAGATCTTTCCAGTGGTCACAACGTGTTCTATTTTCCCTATTCTCAAGGTCCGCAGTTGGGATCTAACCCGACGCACCGGAATTACGAAGCGCGTTCGCAACGCCTAAGCCACAGACGTTGTTATTTTAAAGCACGACCGCAACTGTCGTCCTGGGCCGTTATATAACCTAACGGTCGAACCGGGTTTCTAAATCTCGCGCCCGGGGGATTCTCATATGGTGGGTATGGTGGCACTCTGAGGTTATGTTGGCGGCTTTTCCGGGCATCTTATTTCACATGTTTTAAGTAGGCTAACCCATTGACTGAATGACTGACTTTCTACCCCACCAAGACATCACACAAGCGATAAACACCCGATGACACAAAGTGCCACCATGCGGATGCGGATCGCCGTGGAGAGGTCACAGAAACCGCGTTCAGACATTTGGCCATATTTATGGTCTGCCTATATTGCGGCCCCCGGCAAAAGCCAGGATGGAGCTTCAAATAAAAAATTAGATCCTGAAAAAGACGATAGAGAATAACTATTCATAGCTAGCCCACGCCCATCTTGAGCTATTTATATAAATAGAGAAGGCCGTGGCTAGCCTTTGATAATGTCCAAATGTGGCACTGGAAGCACACTGTTGGTATGAATATGAATATATTGTTTATAATCTGTTTCTTGGAGCTCATTCTTATGTTTGGATGTCTTAATAATGATGTCAGTTGGTATATAAGTGCACTGGCTCGCTGGCATTCTGTTTATATTTCCCGATCTGTTATCCCGTCCTCCGAGAATATACTTCCTGCTTCACACAAGTACTATCTTACCTACATTATTTCAGTGTCGCATTTACTTTCGTTACATCTTCTGCATGTTGAACTTCTTCAGCATTCCAAGCCCTTGGGGTTAATTGCTGCAGACATCACCCGCCTCCATTTATCTCTCTGGTTGGCCTTCTCTTCCCATTTGGTGACATCAAGTTTCTGTAGGTCTGTCTGGGTATTATATATCCATAGTTTTCTTGGTCTGCCTCGTGGTCTACGACCATTCAGATCCCTTGTGTATACAGTTTTTATCTCTTTGTCATCTGACATTCTCTCAATATGTCTCAGCCATTTCAGTCTATTAGCTTTCATAATGCCAGTGATCAACTGTGATTTGAACCGATTAAGAATTTCACTGTTGCTTCTCACTCTCCATTCCCAGCTGTTTGCATCTTTGATGGATCCAAAGACGGCCGTGAGACAGTTTTCGGAAATTTATAAAGCTAAATCTCTTTTAGATGTGCTCCAAGTTTCAGAGCCATATAGAACTACTGGTCTTATCAACGTTTTATATATTTTGTTCTTGGTGCTGCGAGATAGGGACTGACTTTAGCAGATGTTAAAAATAAAAAGCACAGTATACTTTATTTCCAGATTGTATTTTTTTTTTTTCCAGCATGTTGGAGCAGTTGAAGTTTGCAGCCTTGTTTTCGTTCGTTTGATTTTTAAATTATCGACTTGTTTGTGGCCGGAGTTATATTCTTTCCCTGTCTTATTATTATGTATTCCGTGTTATCTTGATTTTGTAAGCTGCTTTTGTCAGAGCCCCTGTTTTTACAGGAGGACGACGACGAGAAAATGAACAGAGGGGATTGATAAGGAGATAGAAAACGAAGAATATAGAAAGAAAGGAAAAAACAACCATAAAGCGGCGACAAAACATAGTCAGAGCAGGGGCTGGATACAGACAGAGCAGGGGCTGGTATCTACACAGAGCAGGGGCTGAATACAGACAGAGCAGGGATATGAAGAGGATATCGGAAAAGCTCCAAGTGTTGGTGGATAAAATTGATGACTGGTGTATACAGGATCTTTGATAAACCCAAACAAAACATCAACATTATGGTGTACACTGTACAACAGAACTGCCAAAGCTGATGTACCCAAGATCAGCATATCTGCAAGTGACATAAGGTCTACCCATCATAGGAAATTGAACACTGTGCTGGGTGACAGACTAAAGAGGGACAGGTCTTGCTGGGATGGCCCAGGCTGAAGAGACAACAAGGTCTGAAACATTTAAGAGATTAGCAGAGGAAAGAATGCGTAAAAGTAAAAGAGGACAGAAGTCTGCACAAGGTGTTAATTTACCTTATAACTGTAGAGAGAGGACAAGACTAGGACAAGAGATGTGATCATACACGCTGACGGGTCAGTGGACAGAGGCAGAAAGAGTGGACAGGACTTCACTGCAAAATCACGGGGAAGAAGGATGACCGAGGAGAACTTGGCATATGACAGTAAGACATCCAGCATGAGAATGGAGGTTGAGGCGATAAATGTGGCATTCCACTGGGTGGAGAAAATTTCTGCCAAATGTGACTGTATTGGATTCGCAGGGGATGCTCAGGAAAGTTGAATCAGGTTTTTTCACATGGAATGGGTCGCATCATTGCAGAGATTGCAGGTGGTGGGTCATATGTAATTTGCAGGCATGTTTGGGAATAGGCAGACATATAGGAATGGAGGGTAATGAAGACCCATACCTGAAGACAATAATGCCATGGGAAGTCTGCAGGCTCTGCGCACCACTCAGGGAAAAAGCAAGAAGATACTTCAGATAATGTGTACTAGTCAGTTAATCGACAGATTATCCTCACTGCCCAGCAGACAAGTCCATAAGCACTTGGATCGCATCTTCAATATATCCCTCAGCATGTGGCTACTGATAACACCAGTTCTGGGTTGGTTTACTATTCTTCTTTGGCTACCTGTAATAAGGTTCATTTTTGGTCACACCTCTTTTAAACCACAGTTCTTGTAGTCTTTTGAGTTTTGCCAATTTAACGTCGTCTGCTCAACCATCTTGTCGTCCTGCCTCTTTGAGAGCACTGAGGATATCGGCCCTGTCAACTGCTTTTCCTGTCAGCTTGCCTCGCAGCAAGCCAATCTGCTCGTTCATTCCCTTTCACTCCAGAGTACTGGAGCTTACCCTGAACGCTCTAAAGCACTTGGACTGCCATAAGGGCTTGTGCACTGCACTGAGATTCTTCAGTCTGCGGCTGGATTTAGAAGTAGAATGGAGCACTTTTGGGTTACTAACCTTGTGCCATGACGTTGACTAACCCTAAAAACTTAAGCCTGTATGTGCATGCCCATAAATGGTTATACACTCGACATTGTTGTCCGTGCCCAGGGATTCTCCTCGGTCTCGACACAAGAAGAGACATTTAAACAGGTGAAAGTGACAAATTAACTACCGTGGACTAACCACAAAACCTGCAAAATACAGTGAACCGCCATTTTACAAACTAAATATGCACAAATGAAAGCTACAAGTCACAGACTAGTCAACAAATCAAACATTTATTCAGACATTGCCTGTCCAGTTTTTTAACCACAAATTTCAATCAAAAACTTTCAAATGCAAAAATGTTCAACAGCAGACCCCTTGGAAAAACCCAAACTTTTCAAACAAACAGCATTCAACAGAAATGAAAAGACAACAAAAGTCAAACATGCCTAAAGGTGTACTGCTGCACACAATGTACAGTCAGAGCTGCCCATAAACTCACCCCAGCTTCCGTGTTAGCCCCAAATAACTGACTGAATACAGTTTCCCACCCGAGGATAAAGATCGTGGTTTCTCCCCCTGGTAGAAATTTCTTTTTTTTTTAAATGACTGACGCTCAGGCTGACCCAGCCTTGAGTGGGTACCTGGCACTGACCACTCATCTTGTGCCAATCCTTTCCACCTAGGACTTTTATCATTGCATGGGTACATAGTAGCTTTAAATTTATTTTGGGGCCTATTTCCCTAAAGAATTGCAGAAAACAGTGTGGTATGAGATTATTTTTGTTTAAGAATTTAGACTTGCCTTGCTTCAAGGTGCGTCTCCCTACTAAACGTACCCAGCTTCTCAGGAAGACGGTAATAATGGACTAATGGTACCCTTTTTTTTATTAAAAAAAACTGACTCATACATAAGATAGTGCTGTAAGGGATTAATAAAGGCTTTTATACATCATTTAGGGAGGAGAATGAATAAGAAGAAAAATAATTGGTTTGGCTGTAACACCAGCCACACTTTTGGCTTGCATGGGCCATGTCAACCTCATACAATACAATGTGCCCAACTCTAATCTTCCTTGGGTTTCCACTTAACATACTTCCCTAGTTGTTCTTTGTTTCCCCACACAATGTTTAGGATTACTTTTGAGCTACCCCTATTGTCATTCCCTCTTATTACCCAGTGTACTAAAGTTGGCCAGGCAGCACTAGATCAAATATAAAATTTAGCCTTGACCTGAATTTAAACATAAAACCTGCAGGAGTAAGAAAACGTAGCCACTATGCTACTTCTGGGCTCGGAAGACAACATCTGACAGAGGACTGGAATGGAACAAAGTCAGAAAGAAAACTGCAGATACAGAAGCGATCTCTGCAAGCCTCTTTAAACCAGAACAGAAGAGCAGCAAGTAAGTAAGATAGCCACTACTGGAATACTAAAGGTCAACAAATGGCAGCAAATATCACAGCTCTGCTGTAAACCAGAACAATAAAATTACTCTCCAAACGAAGCATATCACAGAAAAGAACCAGACGTGTACCCAAAAACCTATCAGATGTTTACATGAGGCAACCCATCAGATGTTTACATTAGGCATCCCATCAGATGTTTACATCAGACAACCCATCAGATATTTACATCAGACAACCCATCAAATGTAGAGGGTGCAGATTTAGGTCACACGAAGAGGAATGTCTTATCTGTGACACAGCCACCTACAAGCAGGTCACTCATATACAACAACTGATACAGAAAAAACTTTATATACATGATGAAGTCTTTTACCCCACCCGGACACACTGTCACATGTAAGCTGGAAGCACAGGTAGTTTATAAACAAATATGGTTCAGAGCTGTGTAAACTGTGAGGCCAAAGCTTTTAGCTCAATATCTATACCCGTAAACAAATGTTAACACAAGCATATGCCACATAAACGCCAGTGAAAATCTGACATTCTCAGTCGAACTTTTAACAAGATTCTATCCAGATTTAATCAATCAACTGATCTTTCTATGTTTCAACAGAAAAGAAAACAAAAACACACCCCAAAAAAATCACATATCTCCATTTTCCTTTGAAGTAAATGCTTTAATGTTTAAACAGTAATGATGAATATAAAAACATGAAACGTCATAAAACTAAACAATCCTAGGGGTGTCTAAATCATTAGGTTGAACATGTGGTGTCCAGTCAACCGATACAAAAACTCACATAATAAAACAGACACCCACGGGATATGAGATGCAAATGCTGGGTGCACCAGAACACAAACAAGTCTGTACAAATTTAACAGTTAGTTCCAGTCCTCATCATCGTCAGCTCCAACAGCAAGATCAGCTCCGGCCCCGGACGCCCAGTTGTCCTCGGCACCGCCCTGCTTGCTGCCAGTGTCAAACTGTACAAACACATCATCAGACTTAGAAACATGGCAGCAGTAAATTTTATGTCTCAAATAAAAAACATGCTGTGGTGTTTATACAATGTGTTGTTTATACAATGTGTTCACTGGCGGAAAGCTCTGCTTGTTCATCTACGTCTGGACTGTAGTCTTCTTCCAGTAAACAAGACTTGAGGCAGCAGACATGTGGTTTTACAGAAGAATGCCCCATTCCGTGGACAGCCAAAAGGAGCGAGCAAGATGTTTTAAAAAGAGGTGAGGCTCGAAGACAACTTGTTACAAACACACACAAAAAAATGATTTATTTCTGGTCACGTTATGAGAAGAAGAAAACTGGAAAATATGATTAGTGGAAAGAGCTGTGGAAAAAGAAACAGAGAAAGACAACGCATGATGATTCTTGGCAGCCTTTTGTCGCGGCATAGAGGAGAGTTAACATACAAATTGTGTACATGCTGTTGAAGACCAGATTGTGGAGAGGCATGACAAGTCATACCAGCTCGCGTTGTCAAGTAAGGCAGAAATTCACTTGCAGTGGATTCCGTCTCACTGTGGCATCAAAGGCAATGAAAGCGCAGATGCTTTAGCCAAGGAAGGCAGTAACAAACCACAGACCTACCAGCCACTATCTTTTCCAGAAGTCAAAACTCTCATTAAGAGAAAATCAGAAACAGATTGGAAAACCAACACTGGTTATAACTACGAAAAAGATTTTCTGAAACACTTGAAAAGAACAGACCAAGTCACAGTTTTTCGCTTACGCACTAGACACTGCAGACTCAATAAACACTCACATAAATTAGGTATGAGCCAAACAGCTCTCTGCCGGTGCCTTCGTGCTGAACAGACTCCAGAACATGTCCTGCAAGACTGTCCTCTCCTGGCGGAGCTGCGGAGCGACATATGGCAACACCCAGTAGAACTGACAACTAAGCTTTGGGGAAACCTAAGAGACCTTGAAGTTTATGACCCACAGTGGATTATGCGCATGACCAGAGATCGCTGAAGAAGAAGATACCAGCTGGCAAGGCACTAGATAAATCTAGGTCATCAAGTCAAGACAAGGCAGAGTGAGCATATCGGAAAGTCCAATACCACAGAAAAAGCAATTCACATACATCATCTGTTATTTGTTTGCATTCACTGGCTGTAAACCCAGGCGGAAATCTATCTTCTTTTACCCCATCAGGACATCACACAAGTGATAAACACCCGATGACTCAAAGTGCCACCAAGTGGATGAGGATGACCCGTGGAGAGGTCCCAGAAACCAGGTTCAGCCAATAGACCATATTTATGGCCAGGCTTTATTGCGGCCCCTGACAAGAGCCAGAGTAGGGTTTAAAATATCTAAAAATTGCATCTCAAGAGATGACAAAATTACCTAGGCGAAAAGTTCTCTGTCCATTTATAGACTGGTTGTTGTTTTGCATGTGCCACTTTACAGAACTAGATTAATTTTTGTTCAGATTGTTGGTTACATCCGGGGGATGCACTCTTGACTTCTAAAGAATCACCCAATTAGCTGACTACTACAACATGCTTGTTAAATAAGCTGTGGGTACCCCCCCTTCCCACAAACAATAGGGCTAGGAACTTACATGGGGGTATACAACATCTATTCAACTCTCGGCCCGCAGAGGTTCAACAAGTGGTCCTCGGATCATTGCCAGTTGCACTGTGTTAACGATACACGGGATGCCCATGACGACTCCTGTTTTCAAAATTGTGGCCCCTAAAAAAACTGAGCTGAATAGCTATAGCATAAAAATAATTTGTGTTCATAATAGTGAAACAGAAAATTGTACACTCCCTACCTTTCCTCTTCTGATGTCCTTGCCTCCGAAACGTCCAGTAAAATTTCCAGTGTCCCCAGCTCCCATCCCACACGCATGTGCTGACAGCCAATCTGGAACCGTTTGCTGCGCCTGGGACCAGAATAACATCCATAAAATATTACTTAAACATCATCACATTCACAAAGTACCTCTGCCGTTAAGCATCGGGGCAGGAATAATCTGCAATATATTGGGTCCTGGCTGGCACTGGCTATTCTTGAGCTGTGAACGCGTAGAGCGCCTTAATTGCTGCTGATTCATTTTTTCTAAGCCGTCCTCTAACTCTTGTAGCTGATCTTCTGAGAGGAATTCCTGTGATTGTATTTAATGTTGTATTCTAATGAGCGGACCAAACCACTTGGTCTGCTGTTACTCAATAAATCTAGCATAAGATGTCATTCCCACAATCTGTCAGTCAGTATCATCATTCACTTGATCTTGGATGTTTAGGCTGGAATAATCATCACAGCATAGCCAAACAAGAGTGACAAACATAAATGAGGTCAAGAATGGAAATGTCATATCAGATGCGAAAACAGTCAACCGCATTCCTTAAATATGTGTCTCATAAACAGATCACTGTCGACAAGTCGGAAAAGTGACATTTATGGGGAACTGGACCCAGCCATTTGTTTTCTTTTTTTCTTGGGACAATGAAGCAGGGATAAACAATTCTCTGCCTTGCTTAGAAACTAAATCAGAGACAAGGACACTTCTTTATTCTCTCTGAGGTGAAGTAGTTAGCCAGCTGCTTCACACTCATGACAGCTGAACTGTTTTGGTTTTGGTATCAATGATTGGGCTGGCAGATTTATACTGGAGATCTCTAGTAGCTGTTAATGGAATCCATTCATTTTCTTCTTTACCATTTTATGTCACATAGGGCTCACAGTCTATTCCTCCATTACATTCTATCAGTTCAATCTCATGAATGGAATCCAAGTCGTGCAGCTCCTGTCCCTCTCATCAACGTTCGCCTTAGGGGTGTTCTCGCCTCCTTCATCCGTTTATTTCTCAGAATGTGTCTAATGTAGCACCATCTTATCTATCTTCTGACTGCTGATACTAGTGATATCCATACATACTGGATGTGTATTGCCCATAAATAGCAGTGAGTCCATTCTCTCACCTTTAAACACCATATATGACATAAGTTGGGTAAAAAAACCTTGGCATTCATGACTATTACTATACAAAGAGTACTAGTCAAAAAGCATGACACAAGCAAATAATTACAATAACATTACCTCTTTGAGAATCTTGACCAGAGGTGCAGCCATGAGTTGATCCGCGTCTGCAGAGAAGAAGCTGGTTGCCTTGCCCAGGTTTCCGCAGCGACCTGTACGTCCAATACGATGGACGTACTCGTCTATCGAAGCTGGAAGGTCGTAGTTGATAACGTGCATGACCTCAGGAATATCTAGTCCTCGAGCGGCAACTGACGTCGCTACAAGAACATTAGCTTTGCCACTCTTAAAGTCTGCTAGTGCCTCCTCCCTTTCTTTTTGTAGTCTATCTCTGAAAAAAAAAAAAAAAGAAGCCACCAAATATTTAGCCACCTAGAAAATTAAAAAATTCAACGCTATGTTTATTTGATCCGCATTATATACTAACATTTTTTTTTACCTTTAATCTTAAAAGTCCATGCTGTGTGGTGTTTGTATTTGATGTACTCCACTTTTCTCTTCCTGACATGAACAAGGAATGTAGACTGTCTCCTTCTGATGTAGGTAATAGTAACGTAATCCTAATTCATTCGTCTATAAAACAACGCCGCTTTTACATAATGTTTCACTGATCGGCCAAATGTTCATGATTCCCTTCCGTACATCATGATAGGACTTATAAAGCTCTTGAGGATTTTCTTTCTCACCCCAACTGACAAAGTTAGATTACACAGAATGTTCTTTATTTTGTAAAACGCTGCCTTTGCTTGAGATATCCTACATTTAAATTCTTTAATACATCTTCCATCTGCTGTTATCAGGGCACTCAAGTCCTTAAATATATACTTGCTTGATGACTGTTCCATTTACTATGATGATGCATTTTGGAGTGTCAATTTTTTTTTAAATTACCATTCCTTGTTTTTCTGCTGTTCAAACTATGATCCTCTTTTGACTTTTCCATTTCCTGCAGCTTTTTTTTTGTCCAGTGAACAAAACTACATCACCAGGATATCACAAATTGTTTACAATGTACTGGCCAAACGATATTCCTGGCATACCATGTATGGATCTCATTATTATATCACTGCACAAACTCAATAAATCGTCAATAATACAATCACAATTATGTACCCACATTTATCTTTAAGACCAACATTTGGAACTATAAAGGGTTAACATTATCTTTTTACCTAATATCTAGCATAAGATGTCATTCCCACAATCTGTCAGTCAGTATCATCATTCACTTGATCTTGGATGTTTAGGCTGGAATAATCATCACAGCATAGCCAAACAAGAGTGACAAACATAAATGACAGGTCAAGAAAGGAAATGTCATATCAGATGCGAAAACAGTCAACTGCATTCCTTAAATATGTGTCTCATAAACACATCATTGTCATAAAGATCAATATTTATTTACTTCAACAACAACACTCTGCATCCATACATCAATCTTGACCATTATGAAAACATTAAGATCAATACGTATTTAATTCAATGACACCAACATTCTGCACCCACTTCAATCAAAATAACCATAGTAAAAACAGCATATACTTAAATTCAAAACCAACATTCTGCATCCACATTTTACTTTAAAAAAATATATAAAAAAATTTTTAAAGGCACCAACCCATGAATACTGGTAGTTGGAAATCCAGACTGGCACAAATAGGAGGCTAGAAAGTCGGCATTCCTCTTCATCTCCACAAACACCAGGGTCCTCTCACCTCCTGGAAAATAAACAGAAAAATTGTCAGATTAGTTGTCCTGACTCAAGCAGTAGTTGATATAATAAAGTGTTGCACTTCCTGTGTGGATTCTAGGGGGGGGGGGGGGGGGAGGGAAGAGATAAACTCACTGTCCCCAACAAGAAAAGTCATACAAGGCGACTAATTACAAGGCAGCTAGTGTTTTCTTAGAAACTGGAGTCTTGGAGGAAGGGATTACTTTTCTGCATACCAATAAGCCAATTCTGTGAAACGGATATGCTTACAAAACTCAAGCTGTGGAAAGAAACAACCAGAACTTACAGGCAGAGAACATTAAGAAACACCGATCACAACAAGATGGTCAAGTAGGTTGTGTATCTTTACCAGTTTACATTTTGCTAGTCTGTCACGGCTGAAGAATCAAAGCTCAAACTGTTGTCTAAATTAACATAAATAACCTGCAGTTGAATTAAACTGTTTAGGCTCGGGAACTTGGTTACAACCGAAAAGACTGTTGGAAAATGAGTAAGAGAAAAACACATGAATGGCCAGGCCATGACGGCATGGAGCAAGACAGGAACACTGATCAATGATTCTGGTGACAGATTTTGAGAAACATGGCTGCTTTTGCTTATGGGCTTGGCATATGATGGTGCCGAACCAACTAGTATGTCAGCATTTTAAAACCGTGTTCATAACCCTTAAAACATAGCTAATAAATGGTGGTAAAGATACAAAAATACACAATGCAAGATGAGTTTTTACAGAACAAGGAAATCAGTAAAGTCAAATTATGCTTAGTACCCAACTACCCAAATAGTACCCTCTATTATAAAATCATGCTGCTGTGTTGTGGGTGTGTGTGTGTGTGTGTAGCAGCAGCAGCAGCTAGATGCTCGCCTGCAGATCTGAAGGTTCAAACCTTTCAACTCAGCTGGACTCCCCCCCCCCCCCCCCCCCCCCCCCCCCAGTAATGACCCAGGCTCCCAGGTCCGCCCTGCCTTAAACCGGTACCAGGTAAAGTCCTGGGAAGTACAGAGCCTGATGTTGACCACATTATCCAGAGACTGCCAATTGGTCTATAAAATATAGGCCTTACACCACTTGCCTCAAGGTGTGGAAGAGGGCTCTTTAGTTGACAGCCACGATGAACAGGAACGTATACAACCTCCCAATGGGGGTTTCAGGGCCCTATTATAAGGAAAGGAGAATAGATCCACTGCCTCCCTAACAAGCAAGTCCTAGGAGTCAATTAACTGGGAGCTTCCTTCAAAGTCGGAGTGCATCTTCCTGAGAATCAGGGAATCAACAATCTGTATTCAAATAAGTCAGATCTTTAAAATGGATATGCAGGCAACACTCACGACCTGGAATCAGACGAGGAGCAAAGTCCGAAGAGCAATTAAGAACCAGAACTTTACGCAGGAGTTTACCAGTAAATGCGAAGTAGTAATAGTAGTATACAGCGGAACTCACCGCCAGCATTGAGGATATCACAGAGTGATTCTCTTTTCTGTAGACGGTCAACCTGGAAAAAATGCTGAGACACATCAGTGTTGGCCCCGCCGACTCTGCCGACAGTAACAAACAGGTAGTCGTTGAGGAAATCCGCTGCCAGTTTCTGGATCTCCTCGGGAAAGGTGGCTGAGAACATCAAAGTCTGTCGCTGTGTTTTGGGGGGCATTCCCATAGTTTCCACCATCTTGCGGATTTCTGGTTCGAACCCCATGTCCAACATCCTGTCAGCCTCATCCAGAATTAAGAAGGAGACGTTTGCCAAGCTGATCTGAGGAAAAAAATTTAACAGGAAATAATAAAGCTGGTACGAACTTTTGACGAAGCATTTATATTTGTGAACACTTTCTGATGTATCACTTCGGTCCTTAGCCTCTTTCTGAACATCTGATGACTCATTCTGGATGTGCAAGCAATTGTGAGCAAACTTCAGTAAAACCACATCTCTGTGTAAGTAATGTATACCTGGGTGTGTTATCTTCTTCATCATTCACCAATTGTAAGCTCTGGAGGAAAATCCTGACTGTTCGTCCGTTTGGACAGGCCATGTGCTTCCATTTTACTAGCTTATTTATGTGCATTTCTTTGTTCCTTACCGCTCAGTCAGATGCACTCCGGCTTCGAAAGAAGCCTCCAATTAGGCTACTCTTACGACATGCCAGTTAGTCAAGCAGTGGGCCAATTTTTATTTTTCCCCAACAACAGGACCCCGGAACCCACGTGCAGAGGTTTGAGTCAACAATGTCTATCTCAAATCATTAATGAACAAATGTATGCGTTTGTATGTCATATAACGCCTGCCTTGAGTAATGATAAACAATTTTATGTGTCGGCGGTAAAGACAAGCAATGTGTCTATCTTCTGCCTTGTGCCGCTAGATGATGCAAGTTAGCAGATGATTGGTTTCGAGGCTAGGGCACGCTCAGTTGCTCTGTTTGCTTAATGCTGATGAGTCTCTATCAGGAACTCCAATCCATCTACTTCTTGGTCCTCCCCCACCTCTTGGTGTTTCTACCTCCATTTTGTACACTCTTGATTCCAGCATCACTGGATTCATTCTCACCAAATGGCTAAACTACTTCTAATGATTTAAATTATAGGTGTGTGTTGTTAAAATAGTTCTTGTAAAGTCATTGTTTCTCACATCTCCTTTAGTTTTGTTCACGGCCTTTCTCAAACATCTCATTTTACAGGTGGTCAGTTTTCCTTCATGTTTTTAGTCAATGTCTACCCTGCACAAATAAGAGACAACATACCTTTCCTCTGTTGATGACGTCCAAGAGTCGACCAGGTGTTCCAATGACAATATTAGCTCCATTGCTGAGCTCCCTCATCTGGTGACTGAGCGAGGTGCCTCCATACAAAACCACAGGTCTTATGTCTGTCTGGAAGGCAAATTTGCGGCAGTCGGTGTAGATTTGAATGGCCAGCTCTCTAGTCGGGGCCACGCAGACAGCCTGGGGTGTCTGCACGCTCTGGTGCCGGTCAGTGGTCAACCCTTGATTGACCATGGCTGTAAGTACGGGTAACAAGAAGGCAGCCTAAAAATTTCAAACAAGCAATTTTAGGATTAGTAAATTAGTAACCATGAAAATTAGTTTAAGAGAAACTGGAGTGACCAGAAGAGATCCAAGCAGGAATGAGGTCATATGAGATATGAATACAGAACCAATTCTAAATTACACACAAAGGTGGCAAATCAAATAGTTTGCCCACTTGGAGAGAATGCCTTATGATGCTGTACCATACAAGGCATACACCAAATGAGGTAAAGGATGTACAGCAAGAGGCAGACCAAGAACAAAATGAGAAGATATCAGAGAAACTACAGCACCACGATGTGCCTATGGTCAAAGCAGGACCTTATATCACCCCCTCGACACCCGAAGCAGTAAGAGAGGACATAAAGAAAAAGAAGAGAATCACAGAATACTTGTCATTTGTATGCACATTTCTCTATTCTTACTCTACTGTCTGTTACAATACCACGTAATTCATCATAAGAGCAACAGACAAGATGGTCTGGTCATCAGACGAGGATGCTATGGTAACAACTGCTGCTCTGAAGAAATGTAAACAAAAGAAAAACAAGAGCAAGGAACAGACAAACACACACACACAATAAAACCATACCATCAATAACAGTCACTCTCCGTGTGGGTCCCGGGGCCCCATTGTGGGGAAGACAAGAACAAACTCACTGCCTCTTCAAGAGGTATATCGTAAGAGTCAACCGACTGGGGGCTTTCTTCAAAGTTGGGGTGCATCAGCCTGAGGCAAGGAACCAACAGTCTGCTAACAAATGAGTCAGATCTGTAAAACGAATGTGCAAGCAACACTAAGATTCTGGAGTAAGACTCAAGCCCGAGGTGGACGAACAAACAGAACTTTCCACTGCAGTATACAGCTAGTGAATGAGAAGAAGGAAAATAACAGTCGAAATGAAGGCGAACTAAAACAATACATTACATTGCATAAAAAGATAATGGGTGGAGCCCCTTAATAAATCTAGGCTGGCAAAAATCAGCTTCATATTTGTTCTGGGGAATTATAGTGTAAAGGGTAATGAAAGAGCCGACAGATATGCAAGTGATGCTCACATAGGAAATAGACAAGCAATAGACAGGGCTGATATACCTAATGCCGTCAAAAAGGCAGCTTGATTAAACGAACCAAGTAATGATTGTACATCTGCAACACTGACAAGACTACATGAACATAACATCAAAAGAGGCAAAGTCAGAAAAGAGCGCTACACAAAGGCCCAAAGAATAGTAAACCTATACAGAACTTGTGTCATAATATACTGAAGAGGGGATCCGAGCACTTATGGAGTGGATGTTTCCATGTGTATAATCTGTCGACTAATCAACTAACATAGAAGAAGCTAATATCAAATACACACACTACAGACTACAAACATACCGTTTTGCCTGAGCCTGTCTGAGCACACGCCATCAAGTCCCTTCCGGCCATAATAATAGGGATGGAGTATTTTTGAATTGGAGTTGGCTTAGTATAGTTGGCCCGTTTGACGTTCCGTAAAAATGTTGGAAAGAACCCTGCTTCGTCAAAAGAGCTGATAAGTCCGCACTGGTCACGTCCACTGACTTCTACAGGGATATCATCATACTTGTCGAAGTTTATTCCCTTATGGACATCGCTGTGAAAGATGTCCTCTTCTTTGTCTGACGGGGCTGGTGGTATGTACGGGGCTGTTTGAGGTTTTTCATCTGGGGGAAAATGAGAACCCAGAATTAGGGCTACTTTAAAACACATAGCATCACAATTTTTCAAACATACCAGGGTCTACATTGCATACTTTATGCTCAAAAGGTCAGGTCATGGACTTATTTCAAGGCTAATAAACTGTTAGGTTCACGAAAGCAATTTTTATGGAACCGACATCAGGGGATAGACTTTGGAATTATGGAGCTTATGCTTTTTGTGACAATGTCAGCGGATGTCTAGAAGTTCTACAGAGAGAGACCGAGCCAGGTAGGGTACAGACAAGTGCAATAAGGTTACCTTTAACAAACATGTGCATAAACAACTGTTGTATATATATGTTGTACACTCTGTCGTACACCCATTAATACTGCATACACGTAAAAATAGTTTATAACTCCTTCCAGGATCCGTTAATTTATAACGTTTATGTAGAACAGTTATATGTATTCGTTCAAACGATCATCAGTCAGTAGCACGAACACTGGATAAATCAACTCTGTCTTTCAATCCATCAAAGGACTGACTGGCTTGGCCATCCACTGTTGTACACTGTATATTCAATGAGCTCATATCCTAGGTAAGGACCCGTGGCCGCTGTGTGAACTTTCACCTGTGCTGTTACCCCTAGAGGAAACTTTAACTCTCAGCCAATAAGATTACAACAGTATAACACACTCAACAAAAGCGGAGCTTCCCCATCGCCCAAAGCCAGAACCCTCTATGGTCGTGTGTACCAATCCTGCAAAATTTCAATATTTTTTCCTATTCCTGGCTCAAGATACGCACATTTCCTGATCAATAATAACAACCCAGAATGGTCACTTCAGGTTGCTTGCTGCTGACCTTAAGTATCTATAGACAATATGACACCATCTAAAGGATGGAGTACAGCACTGTCTACAGCGGAAACAAACAGTCAGAAAAGATCTATGATTTCCATAGCTCAACATAAAAGCAATGAGTGACTCGTGACATGAATATTAATCAAAGTAAAACTGCACTAATGAGTACACACAAAGTTTAAATAAGTATATTTAGATACCAGGGGAAACAGACAAAACTTACCATCAAATTCATTGCTGCAGAATATAAAAAAGAAAACAAGTTAAACAGAAAACAGACTTTGGCTTTGAGTTTTGCAAGTACATCCATTTTACTGGCTTTTTTGTGCACCTGGTTTTAACTATGAAGGAAGTCCCCAATTAGTCGACTCACACCACATGCCTGTTGGGGAGGCAGTGGGTCTAATCCCCCCCCCCCCCCACAATAGGACACCTGAGCCCGCACATGGAAACATTTCTTTAACCAAAGTGAACTACCACTACAGACTAGCACAATGACTGTTCGGAAAACAAAACTAGCATGTCATTTGTCATCTGTTGACAATCATTATTTTATGGCACAACGAATATGAAACCTATAAGATCACTGTTTTACACAATATTCTTACCAACGCTATGTTATCTGTGTCAAACAGAGACACTGTCTTCAGAAGACAGAAAGAAAATAGTCACCACAGAAATGAAATGATTAAGTACTATGCTAGGTGTGAAGTCGAAAGATTAGGGGGAGTGTCGACAAAGAATCAATAATGAAATTTATAGGTAAACAACACATCAAATTGTTTGGTCATGTAACAAGATTGGCATCAGACAGGGCACCACAGAGTGCAGATACAACTATACAGATACAACGGTAACAGACCTAGAGGTCAACCACAGAGAAGATGTATCTTATTTTATACGAAGCAAGCAAACAGAAGGGCAGGTTCCAAAGATATCTTCCTGCCCTGACAATTCGAGGCATTCCAGGAATAGAAAAAAATAAGAAGAACAACAATTTTAACTGCTGCATGGTCAAACAAACAGCTGAATGTTGTGAAGTTAACACTCTAGACCGCTGTAATGTCAATTGTTGCGACACTTTAATCCAACAGTGGCTGTTTTTTTTTTTTAAATGTATCCAAAATTGCTCATGTGCGTCAACTATTTGTATGTGCACACAGACTTATTTCCAAAAGCAACAGGTCTTTAAAAAAAAAAAGACATCTTAAAAAAAAAACTACACTCACGAGTTTGGAGAGGTCCTATCTCCCATTGTTCTGGTACCTCCTCTTCCAAAACCTGCACCTCTAGGTCTATCTGTGAAGTGAAGTTTATAACTTGTCAAAAAGCAGCATTAATGTGCAACACAGAGGAAATCACACAACATGAGATGACATGATGGTCTCTTGGCAATGGCAGATTATCACATTTCTCTATGGGTGAGATTCACGAAATTAATCAGATACATCTACGCTCTTCGCACAAAATAAAGAATTTGTAAGGTACCTCAACTCACTGAAGCATATAAGAAAAGACTTTTTCATCAAAGCTGCTCATGATATGAGATGAGCCTAAATATATTTAATGGAAGCAGCAGTCATCTTGACATTGTTGACATTTCCAGTTCACCTTACATGATGCAGGCTTAAATACTTTTCTGTTCTCTCTAAGGATTTGCCTGAGAAAAGTCACCACTCTGGCCTTCCGAGATCAAGTTGGAAATATTTTTAGACTGACTGGGGGAACAACACTGTGCAGCAAATCTACTGAGAAACAAAAGATCAGATGACCTGGTGATCTAGTAAGAACACATAAGCAAGCGCCACACATGAAAATATCTGAAGCAAATCAAGGGATCAGCTATGAGAACATGGACTGATGTCATTAAAGAATAGTAGCCATTGCTGCCCATCAAGCAATTAATCACAAACTGTAATTCCCCACTGCACTTGACGGTAGAAGTGAAAAATGATGACGGTGAATGACACTCTAATAAATTTGGGTCTATATAAATCCCCATAATCAATCATTTTTCTTTGCTCTTTATTTTTCCTGGTACTCATGTTACATACGCCCTTTGCAAGCTTGTTTATGGTCTGTCAGAGATTGCTCTGTGCATAATAAGTAAAAAGTAAAGATCCATTTTCACACCCTAGGCGCATCGGGCATATGGGAAAAGCGCCCCATATTTTTTTACAGACCAATCGGTACTAGGTGGGTAATGTGGTCAGTATTAGGCTGCGAGTCTTTACTTCCCCAGGACAGCCATCCTGGTACCCATTTTAAGCTGTAGAGAATTAGAAAGCCAATCTAATGTTAGTTCTCCTTAGCTGACTCTTATGACATAGATAACAGGCTAAAAGTGTTTTTTTTTTTGCAGTTTTTTTTTGGGCCGAGTAATTCACATATATGAGATAGCTTTTAAGGACCACACTAAACCTCTTACAACTTAAAAAGTGAGAGCAGTGTTATATTTTTTTTTAAAGGGAATGTTTATGGAACAAATGTATGATGCCACTCTGTGTTTGCTATCTCAATGACTTCACACAGTAAGAATGCAACATCTGTTATCAGCCACTTTGTACAGTAGATACACCAGTCAATGAGCAGATGCTTTCACGTGAATACGGAACTAGTGAAAAAAATGTATACTCAGTAATCGCTCAGCAGTGAAATTTATCTACATATATATATATATATATATATATATATATATGTGATATTTGCAGTCTTCGAATACATTATAGTAGTAATGGACAGGTGCGCAAAGTTTTTAAAATAACAGGTACAAACATTGTGATACTAAATTTATTCAGACAAAGAGGTGCAAATAAGTGACACATGACTGAAGATAACACAGGTGCTCAAAGTGATTTCCATTAGCCGCCAGACACTTTTTCAGAACCATAATTCAACACATAGCTACAATAATTTGAACTAAATATGGTGGAATATGTCACATAATGAAGCTAACAGCCTCTAAGGCTAACTGTGTGCGTGTGTATGTATACATATATATATAATAGTTCTTACCAGTTCCCTGTTGACCAAATCTCCCTCTGCTGCTGCCACCGCTCTCACTGGAAAAACAAACAAATAACCAGTAAAGACATGTGTTACAATCACAGAATGTTTTTTAAACAGTCATCCAATTTTTTACCATAACCCAAGAAATACAGTTCTTCTTCTTCACTTCCTATTTTACCGCTGTGGGTGTCAAGGGAGATATAAGGTTCTGTCTCTAGCTCTTCTGGCCGTCTCGACCATAGGCACATCGTGCTGTTGTAGAGTTTCTCTGAAGTTATCCTTTCATCTTGTTCTTGGTCTACCTCATGCTCTACATCCTTCTCTTTCCATGTATGCTTTGTATGGTATGGTGTCACAAAGCATTCTCTCTAAGTGGGCAAACCATTTCACTTGCAGTCTTCATACATATAAACAGCTAGTTCTGTATAAATCACCACTCGCATACAAATCTATGGGAGACTGCGATGGCAGAGTGATTCAATGACTCCTAATCCCACCCTCAGACTCACTGGAATCAGCAGTTTTGTCCCCCTAATCATGGCTACCAGGCCAGCATCTTTAGAAGAAAAGGCGGCCGGCGTGGTCTGACCACATTGGCCATCAAATAGCAAGTGTTGTACAGAAATATGAATTCAGCATCATATACTTAATGTGCCAGAACAATCCTTTAACCCTAGACTCATTTTGATGAGACAGATTAAGTTAGGATTTGGGGTATCTTCACTGCACTCCTGACATGTCCATAGGTGATCAGATTCTCCCCTTCAACATATACATTAGCATCCCAGTCCTATGTTGGCTGACAAGCCTACTTGTGTGCCCGGTGTGCTTCTGGTGCCTGGCTGTGCCAATCTTTACTACCAATTCTTGTACTCTTAGCAAAAACTGTTTAACTCAATGCTACTGCTTGATTTTTATTTAGTGTTGTGTCTGCTATCTGGATAAGTTAAAGTCCTGATAAGTGGAAGCATTTTCTTAGGGCCATGTGGCTTCTACTTATCCAGACTTGGCTGTAATTAGGGTCTCCCAAAACCCACAAACTTCCTCATAAGAAAAACATACCTGTCTTCGGGTTTTTCCGTGCTACACTTCTGACAAGCTTGTCTAAAGGCAAAGTTAATATTTCCACAGTCCCTGTAAGAAAGAAAGAGATACCTGTCACTTAACATCTATCCACTCATCAACAGTATACTATCAACTAAACAAGTGTATGGCACAGCGACATCACCCCTGTTTTGTTGTCACGATCACTATGTCTCAGGCAAATAAAAATTCCTCAGTTTTAGGGCACCCATAGGTAAATGTTCTGCTGTCTGTGTCATGCTAATTTGTTTAACATTTGTATGTGAAATATGAATCCTTTCAGAAAGATCCCTGGCATATCACAGACCACATCACATATGACAAGGTTAGACATATAATTATTCTTTTAACTACAGTAAAAAGATAGAAAAAGGAAGGGCAAGCACATATAAGATCTAATGGCTTCTTAGAAACAATATTACGGGGCTCAGCAGAAGGAAAGAGGACAAAGAGGCAGATCAAGCAAGACCTGGATACAGAACCAGACGGACAGGTCAAGAACAGACATGCAACCATGCAAGGCATTGCAAATGACCGCCAAGGGTGGGAGCAACTGATCAGACAACAGCAACTGGAGACCCAAAGTCACACAGCAGACGGAATGATGATCTCACATTATCAATGGCACCATTTCTAGCCTACATGTACACACATAATTTACAACTTTTTGCAAATAAATGAAAACAAAATGAAAACAAGTTAGCAAATAGCTGGAGGCTGTCTTGAAAAAAAAAATACAAAACTACATGTTATTAGCATCTTTTCTGACAACAAGTGTTATATTGTGCTACACAGAAACACAACTCAAGATGACGAGCAACTATGGTCAGGAATGAAGTTCTTCAGAGACCACATGGGTGGTATTATAGAGACTATGTACCACTTACACAGCATGATCACTCTCTTAGCCTGCTTTATTTACTCCAAAGGAAGGGTAACACCAATACACTTTAAACAAAGCATGTTGCAGACGCTGCTGGATCAGAAGAGCAGTGCTTTGTCTAGACCAGCTGCCCAACAAGGCTAAAGGCCTGGTGTGTCCTGCTAGGCTGCATTTCCTCTTCCCAGATTAAGATAGATACCACAATCTGATGTTTGACTGAATCTAGCTATATGTTTAAAAACTTGTACTCACGCATCTGGGCATTTCCAGTCCCCTTCTCTGCTGCCCTGTCTGCCTATATGGGGGATAAAAGCAAATTACAACTTCTAATATTTTAAAAAAACTCTTGGTTATCTTACATGACACTAGTATTAACAAAATACACAATTTTTTTTAATCACTGGATATACACTCCTGTGGAAACTTCTGGGTGTTTGTGCACCTTCTGTCTTCAGTCTTCTAGAAATTCAGTTGCATGCACATCCGTTTTACAGATTTAGCTTATTTGTATGCAGATTACTGGTTCCTCGCCTCACAGGCTGATGTACTCCGACTATTAAGGATACCCCCAATTAGTTGACTTCTACGTTTGTTGGGGAGGCAGTGGGTTTCTCCACAAAAAGGCCTTGGGAAAACACAGATATCACTGTTTGATATACAAGATATTTCAACAGAAAAAACATCTGCTGCTCCAAACATAAGAAGACAATGTATTTCCAGAATTCCGTGCAAAATACAAGATATTTTTTAGTAACAATGTAATGTTTCACTAATCTTCTTCATGCTCCCAAGTGGTAAACTCTGGCAGGGAATATTACTGTTTTATGTACAAAATATGTTAACATACAAATCTTGCTGCTCTAAACATATGGAGAACTGTATGAATCCCTGTACAATATGCAAGGCATTTCCAGAACTCCTGTGCAACATTTTCTTAGTGTATATATGTAATGCTTCACAATTATTTATAATAAATATGAAAATTTAAAATAAAAAATTTGCCCTAAATTATGGTGCCTCAGATTGTTCATGATTCATTGCAATATTTCAACACTGTTGGATGCAGTAAATATCTGCAATAAATTAATCTCAAGCTACATGTTTTTTTTCTACTCTGAATGACAACTCATTTACCACAGAAGAGTATTTTAACCATGAGGGACACACTTGAATATATGTGATCAGATCAACATAGAGTTGCTAGTCTTATACTCAATAATAAGAATTGTGGAACAGATTGTAAGATATCAATTTCAGCAAATGTGTGTGAGAGATACAGCAACAGAGAGTGGTGAGAGACACAGACAAATATGAAGACACCAGTATTACAAAGAAGTGAAAACAAAACTAACCTCCTCTCTCCGGTCTATTTCCAAAGGAACCTCGTCCACTTGAAAATCCATTTTTGTGGTCATCATCATCCTGTGACATGTCACTGGTGCGGCCACCTCCAAAACCACCTCTGCTGGAAGCGCTGTCATCATTCCTCCTGTTAAAACCCCCAGAGAATCCACCCCTTGAGATGCCATCATCTTTCCTGTTAACACTGGCATCATCTCTCTGGTTAAAATTACTACCATTTTTGTTCTGAGAGCCAAAACTACTCTCAACACCCCTAGCACCGAAACCACCACGTGAAGTTTGATGGTCCCCATTCTCTCTGGGGCCATGAGTTCTGGCTCCATTGACTCTGTGGGTCGAGTCTTCATCTGCTGGTTTCCCAGAACTGACCTGGCCCCTCCCAATGCCACGAATCTTTTCCCCGAGAATGTGGGCTAAGGATCCACGCCTGTAAAAGACAAATAAATGGAAATGTTGAAATATTGTTGCCTATGGACATCAAATTGATATCAAAAAATCTTACACTAGTGCTCTTTGACACATCTCCTGCTCATACATATCTGTACACCTCTGAACTTTTCTTATCAGAGTCAATAGTATAAACAGTCATATTCCAGGTATTTGGCATCAGAAAATGTGAGCATGTGTTCCAACCTCAATGAAAACAAAGCTTAGAGACTTAGACTATAAGTTTACTGACAGAAGGTTTGAAGAAGAGGAAGAAGAAGAGTGCAGAGAATTAGTTCAATTGTTCTTGACAATCACAACTGAGACATTCATTTCTTTCAACTTATAGCAAAGACAAAATATTATTTTCATTAAAAAAAGATAAATATTTATGTGTAAGATAAGCGGTAGAATTATTTTATGGCTCACTCATAGCGAATGCTGTTGTACCCAATGCTGACAGAAACTAGATGTGCCGAAAATATCTAAATAAATTATTTGACGAGAGAACTATGCAAGAAACCAAAGAAGCTAAGAAACCTGCACAGGACCAACGTTATCATCCAGCATCCGCAGTATCTAAATTTCTTCAATAACCAAGTTTTGGGGGAAATTGATACCCTGTAATAAAATTAGCTTATTCTTCTTATTTTGAAATTTTAACATTTTATCTAGAGCTGTTTATTGCTTAGTTCAAAATCTGAAAATGTTTTTCAATCATACCTTGTAAAATCTTAACCTTAGAATCTAGATTATATTAATTCTCACAGAAAATTCAGTATGTCAGCCTGGTCTATGAGTTGTCCGGTGGACTGTATCAACGCCATACTAAAAAGTTAAATTAGTTTCATATAACTTGGCTCGGAAAGCTGCTCAAAATCAAATGATAAGATTATATCCTAAATACTTAATAGGGCAAACCTGCCTAGCATCCACGCGACACTGAAGAATCATCAGTCTTTTATGGTGAGCTCCAGCAATGGAAGGAGCCACAGGGAGGACAGAAAAAAGCACTATAATGTTACTCTCAATTTTTTTAGCATCATTATAGTGAGGCTGCTGCACAAGACCGCTCTAAATGGCGTACGTCCCTCAGACATGGTGCATCAGCCTGCCAGGCAGCGGAGGTTGCACAGGCAGAGAAACGGAGGCAGGCTAGAAATAATCGTACTGCTAATCCCCACGCTTACTGTGGCTTCCACCCGTTGTCCACACTGCTCAAGAACCTTCCAGGCTCATATTGGACTAATTAGCCACCTTCGTACTCATAATCATTGATGATTTTTACTTTGGATGAAAAGTGGTCTTCATCACTGGTGATGAACCAAAAACACCTGCAAGCATTTCAGCTTATTTCCATGTACATCGGCAAGTCATTGCATGACAATGAAACTGGTTCTTGTCAGCTGAGACTGCCTCAGAAACGCACAAACCACACCCTGGACTATCTTCCTGAACATACTCATTGCATCCCCTCGAAATATGCCCAAGTGAGGGCAGGTGTCACCAGCCAGGCTACTGCCATGAACCCTATAGTTGTATTAGAGGTAAAAGCACCAGAATCTTCCTTCAGTTCTCTTTTCTGCTTAAGCACCAATGGCTCACAAGCTTGTCAGTGTCAAGCAACAAACCCATCTGTGCAAGCGAAATTCCCCCCCCCCCCCCCCCCCCCCCACTTCCTTCTGAGAACAAAATAAAAGCCTGTGAACTCCCACATGTGAGTTGGAGAACAAGCATGTTGTGGGAGGCGACAAATAAGCAGTGTTTTCTTCAAAGCTGTAGTGCATCTGTCTGTGAGGCAAGGAACCAACAGTCTGCATACAATGATTTTTAAAACCAATGTGCATACAAAACTCACATTCTGGATGAGGGCCCAAGTTCAGGAATGGGCAACGACCAGAACTTTGGGCCTGCTTTTACAGCAGTTGGATTCTGTTTGCTGACTATCTGCTTGTTAAGGAACATGTGTCTATTCTTACCTCACATAAAATAGGATCTGGGGTGTGTTAACACAATATTTGCTTAAAAAGGTTAAAGAAACATACAAAATATTCAAAAGAAAAATGCTGACATACCCCATGCCTTTCTTGACTGGAGCTGTGGTCTGTAAGTGTTCAAATGAGAATGATCACAAATAAGTCAAAACACACATTGTATGTTCCGTACTGACAAGGCTAAATCATTAAATCAATAATAAAGGATATTTATACCTAAAAGGATCATGGGGTGGGGTTATCTGAATAAATAATTGCCGTAATTACATTAATGAAATGGTTGCTACTTTCTCTTACCAAAGAAGACTGAGACACACAAAATGTGTGAAGTCCTAGGAAACAAATTATGTTAACTGTAAGGCCAATGGTGTCATAACCTCTCAACTTTGACATGCAAACAGTCTAGGTCTAGGGGAACTTTTATTGGATCTACAGGCCAAAATTAAAATAACCAACCTGGCCATGAGCAATAAGAAAAAAGTCTATTATAAACATAACACCTAGATTTCCCTGTAACAAGTTATTTTGGGAGGATAATCTAAGATCATAATCCCTTGTTAAATTTCTGACCAGACATACCAACTGAAGCTGTTCTATATACTCCCACTGTTCTGCTTTTTTTTGTCAGCAAAATGGTCAGATTATATATAGTTAATTTAACATCAGTTTCACAGGACAGTATACAGCTTGGTAGGGCAGTTTCACAGGACAGGCCAGTAAACAGCTTGGTAGGGCAGTTTCACAGGACAGCCCAGTAAACAGCTTGGTAGGGCAGTTTCACGGGACAGGACAGTAAACAGCTTGGTAGGGCAGTTTCACAGGCCAGTAAACAGCTTGGTAGGGCAGTTTCACAGGACGGGCCATAGTTTGCCCAACCTTCATTTACACGGCCATGTATTTGTAAGAGGGTCTAGACCATAGCTCCTCACTTATAAAAACAGCCTTTACTCAAGGTGCAAGTTATAGCTGCACTATTGACAGTAAGCTTGAAGCACATGACATTACACCTGTACAAATGTACCCCTAAAATATCTCATAGCAACTGTGTTAATAATAAACCAAAGCACCCTACCATATGTCCAGTTTGAAAGCAAGCATTTTAATGCCCCCGAGGCAGTCGTTCTCAACCTATGGGTCGCAACCCCTTTAACTTTAAGGGTTGAATAACCCTTTACCAGGGGTCGCCTACTAACACCACCCAAAAACATTAACTGAAGTTATAAAGTAGCAAGGAAAATAATATGGTTAGGATCCAAATGTAATCCTAAAGAAGGCAAACAATGTAACCTGACATTTACACCCTCCCCCACCCCTCATCAGACTGTGTGGGTGGAAGTTGAATATGAGAGGCCAAATTCTTGGATGGCTAAAGGGAGCAACCTGGACCAACTCATGTTTTTTAAAAGACGAGGGTTCAAGGACAACTTGTCACAAACATCAGAAAGAGGCAGTCAGCATTTGTGGGTCATAAGAGGGAAACTGAAATATGTGACTATTGTGACTGTGACCATGGGAAAGATAGACAGAGAAGATTCTTGACATTCTTTTGTCAGAGTCAGTGCACAGAGGGTGTCAACACACAAACTGATACATGCTGGTGTAGACTGTGGAGAGGCATGATCACCCACGCCAGTCAATAAAGAAGGGCACTTGATGATTAGAGGCAAAGCACTCTTCTGGCCTGAAGGAAATGGTGATGAGAACTAGTCGATTCACTGTGTTGGGGAACATGATATTTTAAGGCATATAAATATTAATATACAGGGTGTGACAACGCAATAGCTCAGCTAGGGACTAATGAAGCTGAGAAATGAGGCTTGCAGCATGTGTGCCTTTGTTTAGAGAGGATTCTGTAACATTGTTACTTGTTTCTCTCTTTTTAATTTGTCCGTCCACATCCATGTATTGTTTAGTTGGTTAGCTGGTGGAGGATTTGTCTTCATCCTCTCTCAATAAAGGCACACTTGCTGCAAGCCTCATTTCTCAGATTCATTAGTCCCTAGCTGAGCTGTTGCGCTGTCACACCCTGTATATTATTATTAATATTTATATGCCTTAAAATATCATGTTCCCCAACAAAGTGAAACGACTAGTTATCATTTTCTTCAGGCCAGAAGAGTGCTTTGAACAATAACACAGTGACGACAGTGATTTGCAATCAGATGTTTCCACAACTCACTGTGTTATCGGTTTTAGTTTTAAACAACTACTTTCCTTTATGTTAACTTTACTAAGTGTAGTATATGAAATTTTGCAGTTCAAAACAAATGAAACTGACGTGGGAAACAGACGGTTATAGTTAAAATCCAAATCCGTCCAACGGACTTCTACTTCTGGAACCATATGCCATATGGCACATGTGCCCAAAAAAATCTGATCAAATAATAAACAAAACTTTTCAGTGTTGAAAACTAGTCGTGTTTTGTAGAAAACAAATTGATAAGATCAGCATATAAACCCAACAATGTGCAAGACAGAAACAAGAGACAACGGAGACAATATTACTGTGGCAGTAGGTAGATCTTGCTCGTCCCAATCCATGTTGGCAATGTTATTCACTTGTGAACGTTTGTACTCTGCGACACGCTCGCTGGGAATGCTGGGAGTTTGAGACCTTCGCGCGAAAACTGGCTACTTCCGGTAATTGGCTGGTTTTTTGGGAAGTCGAGTACACAAACTATTGAGACGATATTTATTGATTTTTATTAATTTCTTCTCTTTCTTCTTTCGTTCACTCGAAATAAACTATCTATATCTTCAGTGAAATATTTTTGCCACATTAAAAGACATAACAGTATTGTAAAGATCATCCTAGAGGGAAAGGTCCAAGGTAGGCGTGAAAAAGGCAGACAGTGTTACAAGAGGGAGGATAACATCAAGAGATGGACGAACAGCAGTATGAGTGTGTGTACATCAAGGGCAAGAGACAAGTCTTGTTGGAGATCCATTGCAGCCAACCTTCATTGTGGAGACGGCACTTGATTGATTGATATCTTCAGCGCTGTCTCTAGTATGAACTTCACTGACTTTTGTAATTCGGTGGCTCGAAACGTTTGGCTTTCACCAGTGTCTCTCTTGGCCAAAAGTTTTGCCTGGAAATGTATTTGAGACAGTGTTGGAGGAGTGTTGTTGTCTCAGATGCCAGCCCACATAGGCCTATTCCTATGGTTGATTCGCCAGTCTAAAATTTTTGTTGTTGTTGCTGCGAAGTCGATTGTGCCCTGTTCTAAATTATATGTTAATGACTTGCTCTGGTCTGTCCATAATATGGAAATCGTCTTGTGCCGGTTTTTGTGGCATTCTGATTGATTTGATTATTCTCTTCTTCTGTTGATAAGAGACTGGTACGTCAGGTTGTTCTTCAGTTGCACCTCCCTTAGCTAGTTCATCAGCTTTTTGATTTATGGAAACTTCCCTGTGGGACTGTATTCATTGAATAGCTACTTTTCACTGGTTGCCCAGTTCAGAAAGTAGCGTCCATATTCCTTGTAATTTTCCATACCGGAGTGTCTGAAGTACCGCTCCTGCATCTGTCATGAACACAACACCACTGGTTGTGTAATATGCCCTGTATTTAGCAGTTTCTCTGGTGCTATCTTGATGGCTTGAACTTCTGATTCGTAGTTGTGACACTGTTTTCTTGTTGGTATTTTGGCTGTATCCATGGTGTTATTAGGGTGCTCAATATAGACTCCTGCTCCTCCGTTTCTGATTGGATTTTTTGCTGACCCATCTGTGTAAACATGAACCCAAGGATTCTGCATGTATTCGTCATCAAGTTGACTGAAGGTGGTTGTTTTACGCTGCACTCTTTTCTTCCATCTTGTCAAATCCCCTTTCACTTCTGTCTTGATGTGTATTGGAAACTTATATTCCCCTCTCCGTGGGACTTGTTTTGATACAGCAATTAAGGGACTACCAGCTGTAGCAGAACAATAGTTTGTCTGCGGGGCCGTTTGGCCTGGCAGATGAGACTGCTTTTTTTTTTTTAGCTGCCCATAGCTAGATTCCCGATTTAAGAATCGACATCATAGCACACCGGGCACACATATAGGTGTTCCACCTCAGAAAATGTCTTAATTAAAATTATATTCAATTTCGTCTTTTTTAGGACGAAATTTTTTGTCATTTGAAGCCCTACTCTGGCTTTTGCCAGGAGCCGTAATATAGGCAGGCCATACATATGGCCAAATGTCTGAACGCGGTTTCTGTGTCCTCTCCACAGCGATCCTCATCCGCATGGTGGCACTTTGTGTCATCTGGTGTTTATCGCTTGTGTGATGTCCTGGTGGGGTAGAAAGTCAGTCAGTCAGTCAAATGTCTTAAGGTGTACATGTTAGCTGCTCACGTAACACAGTGATCATAAACTCGTCGTTTTCTTCCGCCCATACTTCTCCCCTTGCCTGATTTACACCTATTTTCTTGTTTATACATGTTATTTCATATAACCTCGTGTCTTCTATCAACATTCATTCATTAATGGTTTTAGGAATGTCTTCTGTGTCCACTACAAGTGTTCATGAAACTATAGCTTTTGTGACCAGAAAATCCAATTTTCGATTTCCTCGCTCTCCCGCCTGTCCCGTATTGTGTATCCACGTGATTCCAAACAGTGTTGACCTGCTTGTGCTTAGTTTCCACTGATGCCACATTTGAACCTTCCGCTGTACTGACTGAGCATCGGTCATACGGTTACATAACTGTCTACAGTCCCTTCCTAATATGATAGTTACCTAACTAGAAACTGCTGTTTGTGTGTTCCAGTTGACCCATTCTTGTCCCATGCGTATTTGCTTGGCTTTCTTCTTCTTCTTCTTCTTTTTCTTCTTCTTCTTCTTCTTCTTTTTCTTCTTCTTCTTCTTCTTCTTCTTCTTCTTCTTCTTCTTCTTCTTCTTCTTCTTCTTCTTCTTCTTCTTCTTCTTCTTCTTCTTCTTCTTCTTCTTCTTCTTCTTCTTCTTTGCGTTCACCTGGTGTAAACTCTGGCGGAAAGTTCTGGTTGTTCGTCTTCTTCTTAACTGCAGTCCTGTTCCAGAACTTGAGTGTTGCGATGCATCCGTTTCACAGACTAATTTGTATACAGACTGTTGGTTACTTGCCTCTCATGCGAATGCACTTCGAATTTGAAGGAAGCTCCCAATGAGTCGACTCTTACGACATGCTTTTGGGTAGGCAGTGGGTCTATTCTTGTTTTCCCTATAACAGGGCCCTGGAACCCACACGGGAATACTTATTCAAATTATGCAGTATATAGCAGGTCTATAAGGAGCGGCTGGCCGAGCTGTGACAACGTCAGGCTTTCATGCGGGAGACCCGGGTTCGAACCCCGTTTTGCCGTTTTTCTTCTAGGGGCAAGCGTAAAATACCCTAACCTGCCCAGGCCGTGGTGCCAACATTAGCCATGCGGCCGTAAATTCTTAGACTTACGACCCCCCTGTCACGCCGTCCTAAAATTCGATTAAAAATAAGAGGCAGGTCCAGTAAATCACTGTTCGTGTACCTGGGCATAGGGGTCATCAAGTCGCTGATTAAAATATGTATATTAGAGGAATGGCTGGGAACAGTCTGAAAAGTAGACATTCGCGTTATCTGTTAGATAGTCCTCAAAGGCAAATTCAGAAAACAGATAAACTTTAAATACCACGCAATCAAAAACTGAATATACTAAAACTTTTACAAGATTGCTTTACTATACAGGGGGAAAAAACAATTGTTGTTTATGGCAGGAATACAGAAAGTAGTGACAGGAGCAGATCTTTAAAACATGAGTCTATACCGACATGCCTATTACGCCTGCCGGTGTGGACAAGTTTATTTATCAGAGTGGGTAATACTATCATCACTTCGCAGGTACCAACTTTATCATATAGCAGGTATTACCTCATCATTGCTGCTGCGGCTACAAATACTACCACTACTGCTGCTGCTACTGCTACCACTGCTGATGCTGCTACTACTACTAACACTACTACTGCTACTACTAATGATGCTGCTGCTGCTACAACTACTACTACCACTACCACCACCACCACCACTACTACTACTACTACTACTACTACTACTACTACTACTACTACTACTACTACTACTACTACTACTACTACTACTACTACTACTACTACTACTACTACTACCACCACCACCACCGCCCTCACCACTACTACTACTGATGCTGCTGATGCTACTACCACTGCTGCTGTTGTTATTACTACTACTAATACTACTGCTGCTGCTGCTACTACTACTGCTGCTACTACTAATGCTGCTGCTACTACTAATACTATTACTGCTGCTGCTACTACTGCTGCTGCTACTACTGCTGCTGCGACTACTACTGCTGCTGCTACTACTACTGCTGATACTACTACTGCTGCTGCTGCTGCTGCTGCTGCTACTACTACTAATACTACTTCTGCTGCTGTTACTACTGCTGCTGCTACTACTAATACTGTAAATGCTGTTGCTACTACTGCTGCTGCGAATACTACTACTGATACTACTACTACTACTACTACTACTACTACTACTACTACTACTACTACTACTACTACTACTACTACTACTACTACTACTACTACTACTACTACTACTACTACTACTAATACTACTGCTGCTGCGACTACTACTGCTGATGCTTCTACTAATACTACTACTGCTGCTACTACTACTACTAATGCTGATGCTACTACTACTACTACTGCTGCTGCTGCTACTGCTGCTGATGCTGCTACTACTACTAATACTACTGCTGCTACTACTGCTACTACCACTGCTGCTAATGCTATAACATCAACTACTGCTGATGTTGCTGCTGCTGATGCTGCTGCTGCTGCTACTACTACTACTACTACTACTACTACTACTACTACTACTACTACTACTACTACTACTACTACTACTACTACTACTACTACTACTTCTGTTGCTGCTGCTGCTACTGCTACTACTACTGCTGCTGATGCTGCTACTACTATTACTACAGCTATTACTACTACTACTATGGCTTCTACTACTATTGTTGCTGCCCAGAGGTTAGCAGATATCACCTCCATCATGTCTTGAAACCCATTCATGCCCTGTCTTCTTCCGTCTCTCTTTCCACATACTTTCAAGTGATCACAACATGTCCCAGTTTCCCTCTTTTCATAACAAGACCCACAAATTATGACTTTCTTTCTGATGTTTGTGATGTTTTCAAGCACTCGCTTCTTTCAAAACACCTGGGTTGTTCTTTTTAGATGTCCAAGGAATTTAACGATTCTTCTGTAAAACCACATCTCCAACGCTTCAAGATATTGTTCGGCCTGGTTATTAATCGTCTAGTATTCACAGCCATATTTAAAACTGGCTCTATATCTATATACATGTTCTATTACGAGTCCTTAAGAAAGAGAATAGGGGCTTTTGAGCTGAAATGCTATAGAAAGATTCTCAGAATATCTTGGACAAAGAAGATGAGAAATATTGACATCTTAAAAGATCTGAACATCAAGGAAGATTGGCTAATAAACAGCATCCTTTCTCGAAAGCTGAAATATTTTGGT